CCCTTGGTGAAGTCACCATTAAGCGTTTTCTCACTAAGGAGTAGCTGGTAGCTCTCGTTGTCCTCCATGAGACGAGCGTTGGCCATACGAGCCTCCAGAAGTTCTTTCTCTAATTCCCGTTGGCGGCCGCCACCTTTATTTTCCATCTCCACGAGTTTAATTTGGGATTCTGCTAGTTCGAGGCGAAGGGACTCGATCAATTTATCCTTTTGCAAGAGCAGTGTTGAGTTGCTTCGGGACGGGCTCCGCTCAATTTGAGACGAGGGCGCAAACTGTCCATCAACATCCGGCGAGGACCGATTACGGAAACTGGCTAAAAGTGAAAGTTAGAAACAAAGACCGGGCGAATGTGGAGAACGAGGGGGGAACCATACAAGAACGGGAAACATTTTTATCTGCATCAGAATTGATTCGCTCCCTCTGGGCCAGGGAATCCTTAAGACGCTGGATGGTGGCCTGCATCTCTTCCTCCCGGCTCACCTGCTGCTCCTTCTCCTGAAGCATGGCGTTCCGTTCCAACTCATGCGCCTGTTCCAAGTCACGTATCTGCCGGACATGGTCACGGATCTCACCATTGAGGGCTTCAATCTTGCTGTCCCTCTCATGAGCCTGGTCCTCCAGTTTTCCTTGCTCACTGACGGCCTCATCGAGTCGCATTTGCAGCACACCCAACTGCTTCTGGTATTGCTCAGAAGCTGTCTCGGCTTTCTGTAGCTGTTCCCTCAACTCTTCGATGAGGGCAGCATTCTGAGCCCGTGCTTCTTCCTCGGAGGGATCGCGGTTCACTTTTGGAACACTCGAGGTGCTGAGGTTGGACCGACCGGGTTTTCTGGCCGCAGCCCGCGCCGACACTGGGGCCGAGCCACGGAGGGATGGAGATCGAGATATGCCATTCGTGGTCGTGCTAGGAGATCTGGTATGGCTTCGTGACGGGGTGCCATTCACCGTCGGGTTTTCTGCGGGCGAAGATTTGGTCGAACCGCCTGGCGTTCCAGGCTTCCGGGGCGTCGTAGACATTGTCACCGGCAATGACGATGCTCACAACGAGCGGTGAATTGTAAGAAGAAAAGACAACTCGGAAAGGGGCAATTCTAAAGAATTGAAGGCAGTGATGAAACGACCGGGAAATTAAGTGATAAATTTAAGGATCGGGGGAGGTATATAGTAGTAGCGGTCAAAACACAGTGGACACTATGCCGTAGTGGGGGAAGTCTAGTTTGTTAAGTAGTAAAGTAGCAGTAGAATTTATGGCCGGCTCAAATACTAGCCCCCTTTGGTTCAAAAAATAAAATAAAACAAAAACCGACGGGAAGGAAAGAAATTTATAAGCAAGAGGAAGGTATAAATATCTATCAGGGAAAGACCAAAAAAAAAAAAAGGTATATCACGTTAGGGATAATTTCCAGAGTCGAGGAAATTCTGGGGATGGGAAAATGGTGGATGGGCTTATTTTATTACAGACATTAGGGGGGTGTTTGATGATCCCGTATGAAAACGGGCATCAAGGCAGTATTAAAGTGGGTAAGTAACGTCTCATACAGCGATAATACATCTTTCTCTGTTGGTTGCTCAGGAAATTTAGTGCTAGTTCAACTTTTAATTAAATAGCGCAACGGGGACAACAACAATTTGCTAGGTACTTCCCTCCAGTCTCTTCTTGCTGGAGGTTGACTCGCTCGTAAGTATGCATGAACTACTCGGATGCATGACTTGACTGCCCGAGAAACTACCCAGAACCAACTATAATACTCCATTCTATTATTTGTTATTAGTATCACCGGTATTACTGTGGTTACTGAAGTTGAACGGCATATGCAGCAGGAACCCTTTCAACGGGGAAGACAACTTAACCTAACAACAACCTAACTCAACATATGGCGGGATAAAGATAGTACACAGGAGTCATTCCGTAAATCATCTTAGTTCCTTGCTGCATACAGGGTCTCGCCATCTGTCCTTCTTGTGAGAGGAACAAGAATAGAATTTAGTTCACCTGCCACCCAATAAGCAGGTTCATGGAGAGAATCTGCGCCACGTTAGAATAAACGATAACTGACGCCCAACTGTTCTATCCGACCCTCCATTGGGAGAATCCACCTCAAGCTATGAAGAAATAGGGTTCGACTGAAGGCAGTGAATGCTGACAGCACATTAGCCACGTCCGATCCATCCCATGGAAAGTAGGGCTGTATTTCTCGTAAGATACGGACTCGATCGTCGGGAGCTGATACAGACCTGATACGGAGTGAAAGTGACCCAAAAGGATTGGATGACTCAGCAATGGCGGAACGGATCAGGAATAGTCCGAGCGAATATAACGCTCGACCGCCAAACCCCACAAAGGAAAGAAAAAACTCAACTTCACGATAAGGCCGGAGCGCACCTTTTCAGACTACTCTCAAAGCATACCGAACTACTCAGTTCAACAGCGTAACGATGGCCCCCAAGAGCAAGAAGAACGCCGACTCCATCAACAGCCGTCTGGCTTTGGTGATGAAGTCTGGAAAGGGTATGTCAATCTTTAATTTTCATCGTTTCTGTGGATTTGGACTCGGTTGCTAACCTCTGGTGCAGTCACCCTTGGCTACAAGTCGACCATCAAGACCCTTCGTGTAAGCTTTTCTCGCATACAATTGGAGTCATTCGAGACATGAGATGGTTATCTAACTATTGAATAAAGTCCGGCAAGGCCAAGCTGGTCATCATCGCTGCCAACACTCCTCCTCTCCGCAAGAGTGAGCTCGAGTACTACGCTATGCTCGCCAAGGCCCCTGTTCACCACTTCTCTGGTAACAACGTAAGTGTCCCTTGGTCGCATATGTCTCTCTGCCCCGACACTGCCAACCCTCCTGCTGGAAGGATGGCCGTGTTGGAGCCGCCCTGAGAAGCCGCAATCTTTGGCTGTGGAGGGTACGTGATAACTGACGTCTGCGCGTAACTACAGATCGAGCTCGGCACTGCTTGCGGTAAGCTCTTCCGCACCAGCACTATGGCTGTCCTCGATGCCGGTGACTCCGACATCCTCACCAGCCAGTAAGTGTAAAGCACGGACAATGTCTTCATGTTATGTCTGGACGATATACAGCCTTGGAATGCGATGAGGCACGTGATAGATAATGACAAGAAACTTTGCACTTATTAACCATTTTTGACTTGGTACATCTTCGTATTGGTATATGTAGGATGAACTTGGTAGAAAGTAGTGGAACGTCGAGTGTGTGGCGACCATAATTAACAATCAATATTTGTTCCCTACGAATTTATCATCTCTATCTGTATCTCTATCTTCTATAGGTTGTTCAACCTGCATTGGAAGTTTGAAATGTCGCCGAAGTCTGACAAATGCGGTCTGGTTGCGGGAGTCGCTGATTGGTGGAGACGGTAGGGTTTAGGGTTTCGCCACTCGTTAGTGGACGCTGCTTGGAAATCAACGTCGGAAGTGCCTGCGCCCAAAAGCCTCCCCTTCCCTTTCGCCTTTCGACACCACCCTTTTCGACAACCTCACCGTTCGCAGGAAGTGCAGCAAGGTCACCTCCAACTCTCAAAATGGCCCGCCGTCCCGCTCGTTGCTACCGCTACTGCAAGAACAAGGTGCGTTGACGGTTTGATGGATTTTTCCCATATTTTCATGTTCTGTGGATTTTTGGCTCGGAATTTCTCGCTTGTGGGGGGGGGAGAGGAAGCAAAGACGTCAACCACGTCGAAGGATAGGAGGGGAATGAGATATTGCCATCGCACTACTGCTTCAGATGGATGGACATTTTATTTTTCATCATCAGTCTACCAAGGATCTTCCACTAACATGATGGTTGCTTCATAGCCCTACCCCAAGTCCCGGTTCAACCGTGGTGTTCCCGACCCCAAGATCCGTATCTTCGATCTGGGACGTAAGAAGGCCAACGTCGATGACTTCCCTCTCTGTGTGCACATGGTCTCCAACGAATATGAGCAGCTTTCCTCTGAGGCTCTTGAAGCCGCCCGTATCTGTGCCAACAAGTATGTCGCTTCTCCTCGAACCGCAGACCCGATGATAAAGACCGTCGTCGCAAGACATGAAAGAAGAAACTAACCAGCTTCCTTCTCCAGGTACCTCGTGAAGATCGCCGGTAAGGAAGGTTTCCACATGCGTATCCGTGTGCACCCCTTCCACGTCATCCGTATCAACAAGATGTTGTCGTGCGCTGGTGCCGATCGTCTTCAGACCGGTATGCGTGGTGCCTTCGGTAAGCCCCAGGGTACCGTTGCCCGTGTGAACATCGGCCAGATCATCCTGTCCGTCCGCACCCGTGACTCCAACCGTGCCGCCGCTATCGAGGCTCTCCGCCGTTCCATGTACAAGTTCCCTGGTCGCCAAAAGATCGTCGTCTCCAAGAACTGGGGTTTCACCCCCGTCCGTCGTGAGGAGTACGTCCAGCTCCGCCAGGAGGGCAAGCTCAAGCAGGATGGTGCCTACGTTCAGTTCCTCCGTGGCCACGGTCTCGTTGAGAACAACATGAAGCGCTTCCCCGACGCCTACGAGTCCCAGGCTTAAATGGAATGAGCTTTAGCGTTAGGACCCATAAAAAGACATGAATTTTTATTATATTCCTCCGGTTACCAATACATGTTCTGTTATTTTGTGATGTCATTTTAGTGTCCTCACGCACGGCGGAGTTGATTTTAATCATGGATTCCTCGGGCTTATTCCTTTGCGTACTCTCAGCTGTTACCGTAGATTCTGCATCTAATCTCACAACCCTTGACTAGCGATCGTAGTGTATGTACATATCTCGCGTCGGCTATAATGCTCATATGTCGACCCTATCAGAGCCCCTATCCACCTCCCCAGTACAAAGCACCAAACCAGGATTCTAGACCTGTGTAGTCCGCCATGATCTAGATGTGACATCATAAGACTAAATCATTTCGAGAAAAACATTGTAGAATGAACATCAGTCTAAGCCTAGGGGGGGGGAACAAGAAATAAAAAGCAAGAAAAGGGGGGGACAAACATTTGATTAAAAAACGGCTAGCTATATATGTACAAAATCTCCTTATACGTGTATATGGAAATAGCTATAGTTAGGTGTATTAACGCGTTTTGACAAACTTCATGATATATATTTACCCGAGAGATGCTTCAAAATATAACTTTTCGCAGAATAGACAAACTCGTATAAATGTATTTAGAGCATATGATGCCTTTGAAATATTCTAAGTATTCTTTTGAAAGAGGAATAGGAAAATAGGATGCAGTATAAGATGATTGATTGTGTTGAGGGAATATAGACATGCACCATCCGATGTATATATAACCCCAGACCTGAGTCGCTCCTTTACATACTGTACACCGTTGACATGCACCTGTTCCGGTTTGATACATATATCTAAGCCCTTGCCGTCCCTCGTGATATGTAAGAAAAATGCATAAAAGGCCACACCGATGCATTACCGAGAATGATATGTGAAATGATTTAGAGCAGTATTTGTATATGGAAATGAAAAGAAAATAAACACCGAAGAAAACCGAACACGGAAAGGACACAGACAGCCAAGCCCGACAAGAAAGGTATAGCTATCGTTAATCGTGATAACACCCGAGAAACTCCTGGTCTGAAGATGACGCAGCCTGATTAAGTTAAGCATTGATGGCCAGCATGCAATATAGTGGGGTTAAATTGGAGAAGTTTCTTGATCTTGCCACGAGTCGCAGATTGTGGATGCGTCCGGGATGGATGGCGGATGGTTAGACATCCCCCCAAGACCCAACTCCGGCCCCGACGGGGGCAATAGCACTTCCACTGTCTACACTACCGCCAATGTCCCAGTAGTTCCGGCTGGAACCGGTAAGGGTTCGGCGACTGGAGATAGCAGACAGCTTCGCACTCTGACCGCAACTAGAGCTGGGACGGCGGAAATGCTGGCGCAGAATAGGGGATGAGATACCCGTTGGGCCAGATTGATTGGTGGAGTGCTGGGACTGACGTCGAATTTGCGCCTGAGAACGGGAGTGTGCTCGCGCCACCAGCGGGTGGTGTTGACGGATAATCGCGGCGCGTCGAGACGCATCTTGCGGAGGTCGGCGCGCAGGGGGCTGGGAGGTATCGGTGTTACTGCCTCGTTGACTGAAGCGATTGCGAAGGTAGCGGAAGACCATCATCACATCCAGTTCCCGTTCCCAGTACTCTTTCTCCTGCTGGAGACGCACGGACTCGGATAATGAATCTGCAGTAGAATCCCGATTCAAGTCATCGTCTTCAATGCCCCATTGTGCGGCATGCTCTCGGCCAGTAGGATCCCGAAGCGTAGGAGAGAACTGTGGAGACAACACTGAATCGGCGTTCGTCGTAGGCTCTTGCGAGGCTGTTGGAGCAGCAGATACGGAGCGAGTCTGCGAGACACTCTCTTCTGGTAATGGCCCGAGAGGCATGCCAGCATATTGGTTGGGGATCTCGTCCGCCAGGCTGAGATAGGATGTAAAGGCTCCCGGGTGTTCACAAAGTTGATTAACAAGTATTCCCAATTCATGTGCAATGCGCTGAAGCAGCTTGGTTTGCCAGTTGCCGTGATCGTCGGGGACAGAGTCCAGCTCCAAGTTAAGGGATTCATTCATACGAAGGGCGTCATCTGTCCCAGCAGATGCCTCTCCCTCACTCTCTGGTAGGGATTCTCCGAAAAGGGCAAACAGCAAAGAGTCGTCGATTCCGATGAGATCCCGGATGACTTTGCGGGTAATCTTCCGCCATAAAGATTCGTTTTCGCCCCCCTCTGATACCGTCGAGGGGGGAAACGCATCTCCCCTGGACATCTCAGGAGTACTGTCAATACCTGCCACTCGGGCTTGAGAGCCCACGGGGTTACCCAGCCTGCTGGCGCGGCTATGGCGTCGTTTTCGTGTCTCTTTTTCAATTTCCTGCAAGAGCACTCGGCTCTGATCCATCCTCCACTTCTCAATACGTTGCCACCGCTCGCGGTCCATATCTAGAGCTTCATGGTCTTCTACTGAGTCCAACTGACGTTGGACATTCGAGTACCGCGGGGATCCTAGCGTGGGCCGCCGGTGAGGATTGTATTGCTCGTGCTGCCATAGCTGGTCTTGCACGGGCAGAGCAGACGCCTCGAAACTGCCCAGTCCATCATGCGCTGGGAGGACAGCCGGTGTCCCTTGGTCCCATTTTGCAGAAGAGTCTTCGTTCAACGAAGGTGCCCGAAAGGCATGTAGACCGTCATCTAGGCTGTCCAACTCGGTGCCGTCCTCATCCAAGGACTCTTCGAGGGGCTCGTCAGCATCGCCATTGTCCGGTCCCCAGGCTGACCGGGTTGGGGTGCCAAATGAGCCAAAATCGCTCAAGCGGGAGGGTGCAACCGTTCGTGGGGTACGTTCAGTGGAGGTCGTGTGCGTGCGGGCATCGGCAGACGGTTGAGAGGGAGAGAAGAGCACCCACTCAGTGGATTCATTATCGGGCAGGTGAGACAGTCTGGGAGGGGCCTCAAGGGTGGGAGGCTGAGGGGGTTGCGAAGTTGAGTAGGAATGTTGACGGCGGGGAACTTGTGCTGGTAGCCGTAAGGCCATCGTTGATCGGAGATGATTCGAGGGAGGAGATAAGAGGGGGTTTTATCGATCGTGGTGGATCTGTTCCCCGCGAAGTATGCTGTTTCTCAACGACGTGATGGAGTATAGCAGCAATACACCAAAAGGGTAGAAAAGGGGGTTTAAAAAAATAGGAAGGCGTGAGATGCGTCGAAAATAAATGATAAGAAAAAAGTAAAAAAAAAAAAGATTGGACAGATAACAATGACGGGTCCCAAAGTCCGACTCAAGATGCGGTGATCGGACGCGACCCAACCAGGAGGCTGGTGGCTGAGGTTATGGATGTAGATTAAATCTCAGGAAAAAAATAATAAGAAATGACAAAGACCAGAAGGAAGAAACCATCCGTATGCGTCTTTGTTGTTTCCCCTCACCGACTCAGTACTGTATATGACAGAGAGGGTCAAGAATATAACCCCCAAGGTTGGTCAACAAACGAGACCCAGAGGAAAAAAGACGATGATGCAAGGAAACGGCAAGTCATCAGGCGAGACGAGACGAGACCGGAAGATGCGCGCCAAGTGGGTTCGAGGGGGGATCCACTTGAAACAGGCGAAAGGTTCCATATACTTTGGTCGTGCATGAAAGTGGCTCTTGGTCCCGAGTATCGAGTACTTGATGAGTTTATATTCCCATGGACATCCATACAAGTTCCATACTACTGAAGAGGATACTTTGGACTAGTTGTTGTTCGTTCCGTATGATACTGGGATCATCTGACCGCCAAATGGTGTCACTGCAGGAAAATCCCACCACTGGACGATCATCAATACCCGACTAGTTCTGTACCGTATGCGTTCCGTATTGATGGATCGGGCGATCGACCCTCCGTTTAATTTATCACTGATGAGATAAGGATGATTGTCATGATTGCCCGAAAGTTGCAATGTGGCTGGATTTCCGAACGCAATATATCCGACTCGACGTATTCTGATACTTGAATTGTTAAAGGACTGTTGGCCTGCTTTTTACCCCCTTTTTAGCTTTTCATTATTGATAATTACTTGATTTGTTGTTCTCCATTACATACGTCCAGTCCTGACTCCCCACCGCACGCCAGATGATATGATCGACCCCCCTCGACGGGCTGATCTCAGTGACATGTCATCCTCACCGCGATGGCCTGCAGTCACCCAATTCGAGGCTGACACTCGTCAGGGGTGGTCCATCCATAACCTTCTCGGTTGACCTTTGTGCTTTCCATGGATCAGATGCAGTGCGACGAAGTTAGCAGGTAGCTATCACTCACTAGTTCTAGAATACGATTAGTCCAAGTAGACATCCATCATTAGATAGTCAGGGCTAGTCTCCTCTTTCCACTTTAGGGCTCACCCCTCGCCGCTTTTGGATGCCTGAGCTGAATGTACTAACATCCTCAAAGGACAAGTGAGTGTCGAGTGGGAAATTAAGGGATATTACTTAATACACTTACTTTTTTCCATGAATAACATTTACCCGAAGAGACTTTCTCCCCCCCTAAGCTGATCATGGCTTGCTGGTTATATTCTTGTTCAGCTGTATGGAGTCCCCATCGTGATTATAGCAATAGTAGGGCTCACCAAGCAATATGTGAGTGGGTAGGTAGTAGATCTGTTACACAGCACTAAGGTAAAATAATGTTAATATGACTTGAATCCAAGGCCCACAATCATGCTACTAGTACTTATGCAACCACAGTCACCTTCTTGACGTAGAAGGTACTGCTGACTGCGTCCAAGATGGATTCGCACTCTTTAGCGCCAATTATATAGGGTATGCTAGGAATATCATAGTAACGATCTGGGTGTGGTCTCTAACGGTAAGAATCACTATCTTGGATTAGTAGGGGAATGACAAGAATACCGATTTCATTTTCATCTCGGATCCTTCTGCTCACCATCAGGTTTCAAAACCCGTCCCTACACTAGTCTAAAACAAAATTTGGCCGACTGTGCAGAGGCTTTATTTGCTTTGTTCTTTCATTCTAGTTTCTGGTGTGATCCATATGGTGTGGAAATTGGAAGAGAGGAAAGAGTACACTCTTAAGGCAGAGGTCATTCCGAAGTAAAGTACAAGGTCCAAAAAAGTCAAGAAATTGGTTCTCGCAATGCCTTACAAAGTGGACAGTCGGGGTGCTGTATACTGTTCATTGGGTATAAAGTCTACACCGGTAATCTATCAGGTGGGCTGAACTGTACAAATGCCCCCACAGAAAAGAGAAAAAGAACCTGAAAGAGGAAAACGAGGCCTACTGCCCAGCCAGCGCCTCTCCAACCCAGTCCATCTGTACTGCACTCACTCCTCGAGCGTAACTTCGGTTCGTGAATACGTACTCGTTGTACATAATAGCTTCGACTTTCTTGCCAAACAACACACTGGACGGGTGAATCGCCACTGTTTGGTTCCCGACAACGGTCCGATAGCTACCATCCGGCACCAAACGGGCGGTGTTGGTAGCAAAACCCCGTAGGAAACTCTGCAGTATGTGTATGGGCGACGGTTCCCGGGTGATAGAATTAGTGGAAGGACCTCGAGTATCATTCGGGTTGGAAAGAAGTTTAGCCTGACGGCATTGAGTAGTAAGCTGCTTACGGACATCCTATAGATAACTCTGTTAGTGGAATGCGTGTTCTACTTAAGCCAACGGGGTCTTACCATTACGGCTTGCATCGCCCGATGCGAGACCATGTGCCTTTCAGCCCACGCCTTACGATCGGTGTTCTCGGCGGCGTAGGATCGCACGGTGGCGAGCATGGTGAGATGATCACCTTCTCTCCGATACAGATCCCGCCGCGCTTTCTCCGCCTCCTCTTTCTTTTCCTCCGATGTCGTATTTAAGAAGATCGTCTCCACACTGAGGCACGAGATTATGTCGATCACATCGGATAGACAGTCTTCCCCATACTCCGATGCCGCAAGTAAGACCCGACCGAGAGTCGGAGTGAGAGGAAGCTTGGCAATATGCAGGCCGATCGGACTAACTTTGCCAGATTCTTCGAGCGCATCAATGCTCAGTAGCTGGAGAAGGGCTTTCTCCAGGGACTCCCGCGGGGGACGTGTGAGGAAGGGGAAGCCCATGACATCGTCGACACCGCGAGCCTTCATGTTGAGCAAAGCTTGACTCAGATCGCATCGTAGGATCTCTGGAGTGTTAACTTCATCCAGTTCTAAGTAGTCTTTTTCAGTAAACAAGCGGTAACACTGGCCAGGTGCCTCTCGTCCTGCACGACCTTTACGTTGGATAGCAGCGGATTTAGAGATAGGTTTGACCAAGAGAGAATCCAATCCCAGACGTGAGCGGAATTGCTTCACTTTGGCTTTTCCACAATCGACCACAAATCGTACTCCAGAGACAGTCACTGAGGTTTCAGCAATATTCGTAGCGAGAATGATTTTGCGAGTCCGAGGCGGTGCAGGGACAAACACGCGCTGTTGCGCTGCCTGGGGAAGAGCAGCAAACAGTGGTAGAACTTGGATCTTCGGCAACGCAGGGTCCATTCCAACGGCATATTCGTTCACCAACTTCTCTAAGGCTTCCACAGTCTCCTGTCCAGTCAGGAAAACTAGAATATCTCCAGGCAATGGCTCTTTGTAATGGATATTGAAGATAACTTTGAGAGCTGCATCAACAAAATCGTGTACCGGCTCAGGGGAGTAAATAGTTTTGACTGGGAACTGCCGACCCTTGATATGGCAGACAGCGATTTCATCATCTTTCTTTTCAGAGCGGTTTGTCACAGTGTTGGTGTTGTTCTGTGCTTCTACCCCTGATTGCGAACCTCGATATCCTTCCTGGAAGAAGCCGAGTAAGCTCTCCATATCCGCTGTGGCACTCATGACCACAACTTTCAGCGGCACTCCGCCACGCCCTTCTCGCTTCCCCGACACTAGATTCCTCAAGAATCCTAGCAGCAGATCAACGTTGACACCGCGCTCATGCACTTCATCAACGACGATCGCGCTATATTTAGTCAACGAAGGGTCGCGCAGCATCTCCTGCAGCAGCATTCCCTCCGTCAGGAACTTAACGCGCGTACTAGGAGATGTAGACGTATCGAAACGAACGGAGTAGCCGACTTTACTCGCAGGAGACGACGACCCAAGCGGTGTACCCATTTCCTCTGCAACACGCCTAGCCAACGAAATCGCAGCAACTCGCCTGGGTTGAGTAATAGCGATACAGCCGCCAACCTCTATCTCCTTCTGCGAACCATCCTCCTGGGTCACCTTTGTCTTCGTTGGCTGACACCATTGTTCATTAAACAGAAACTGGGGAATCTGCGTACTCTTTCCGCTACCCGTCTCACCAATAAGAAGCATCACATCGTTCTTGCGCAGGTATTGTCGGATCTCGTCGGCATGAGGGAAGATAGGAAGGTTCTTGCGAATTCCATACAACGTTTTCGCCTTCTCTTTCAACGAGTTGAAATTGGTCTTTGTATCTTTGAGCGGCCTCGGTTTCTGGTCTTTCTTCTTGTGCCTCGGCCTGTCGGATACGACGCTCACGTTGTTCTTGCTTGTGTCTGTTTCTTTTTCGGAGTTTTGCGCAGATGGCTCGGGCTTGTTTTCTGCGGCTGCCGGTACTTGTTGCAGTTGTCGCGAATTATCGGTTGACTCGCCATGTTTCCGTTTCTTTTTCTTCTTCTTCTTATCGTCCTCTTTGCTGGGGTGTTTCCTTTTCACAGATCCTGTTTCATGGTCTTCTTTCGCTGTTGTGGCTTTTTCTTTTCCACTGGTGGGTATCTCGTCCGGGTCTTCGAAAAAGACCGTTTTCACCCGTTCGGGCATCGCGAGTAGTTCTGTAATGTCGAGAAAGATAGTCTAATTGAAAAAAAAAAGGATAATATCACGGCTGCAAGACTCAAAAGACCGTATAGGTTATTCTAATTAGGTGTTCTTCATGTCGTCGTATCGCGTTGTTGAGGCGCTCTTGTCGGAGTTCCTAATCCCCGAAATTTTTTATATGAAGCTTATCGATAAGGCGCTTGGCACGGAGACATTGATGTAACATGTCAACCGTACCACAGTTGCAAACTACATGTCATGCTCACATCTGATCGTTCATTAATCTTGGTTTTTGCATTGCCATCGTATATATTATATATCTAGTATATAACGTCACAGACTTCGTTTTCCCATGCCATGATTTATGTGCCCAAGAATCTGCTAGATGTTTTCCCGTCGTCTATACATTCCCATCTAGAAAACGCCAGAGTAAAATCCCATGATTCGTTAGCTCATACCCCATCCACGAACACGTCGGAAGACGAATCCGCGGTCATGGCGAAGGCCATAGTCGGACCATTCATCCGTGAGTTTATTGCGGCTCCAATAGCCCTTCCATATCATTTTTGTGTTCTTTGACGAATTGGTAGACTTATGTGCTGCAGATGACCGCAGTGACATGTGAAGAACATTGATGCTCGACTTGCTTACACTCTCCGTCTCGATAATGACGTCTCTGGGATCAAAGGCGTCGGCCGAGAGGTCTTTTCCACCATGTACGGGAGGGAGGACAGTCTCTGCCTGCGCACCAGTCTCGGAGGCTGGAAAAGGATTGGCCAAGCGCCAACGACCCCGGCGAGCGTCTTTTAAGGCTCCAATTGCGGCCGCAGGGATTGGTTCTGAGGCTCCTGCCACAGTCTTACCTGCGTCCAAAGGCTGACGTCGATGGTGCTTGTGAGATGTCCGAGCTTCTAAAAGGTTTTCCATGCTAATATGTGGAACCAGGTCCACAGGTTCCACGGTGGTGAGTAGGGCGATGACTGTGCCGTCTGGGTAAAATCGTAGGTATCGATAGTACGTTACTATGTGGATGGGGGAGTTCCACGTTACGTTTTGGTAAAATGAGGCAGCACCGGCGCGAGTATAGTTGACTGTGCTAATATAGATTCCTGTAAATCGAATACGAGGGAACATGCGAAAGACGTCACTCCATGAGAAGAGCGGCTTGGGAACCTGCACAGCAGTGCCACTAGGAAATGGGGTATAGCGAGAGCGAGGATTTAATGTGTGTTCTGGGTTGCCGTGAAGGTCGCAATCAAAAGCATAATGCATAGACTTGAAGCCAAATTCAGAGCCCTGGCAAAGTCGTTTCCAAATGTGCTGTTCGTGGGCAAAATGCCATGCAAATCGTTTGCAGACCAGTGACATCCGGGAGAACGCCGCAGGGTCTGTCAATGCCACATGCCTCAAAATCTCGACTATCACCTCCGATGGAACGTGAGCGATGGGGCATGGGGGTGCCGGGTCACCCTCGAAGAGAGGCTCTGGTCGAGCAATGGGCAGGTGGGCAAAAGATGCAATAAGCTCAGGTGTTGGTAAAATCTCAGATTCACCTTGAGTTTGTTGATCTTTTGAAGGTATGTTCGCTGCAGAAGCTGGGGCTTGGGCTGGCTTTTTCCAAGCCCAGGCAAAATGCTTGTCACGGTAAGTCTTATCGACAGCCGAGTCCAACTATAAAGGGAGAATAACATAGCGGTTAGCAAAGATTGACATAGATTGGAACGAATAGCAACACTCACCTTGTATGCTTTGCGGTAGTATTGTAAACTATCCCCCAACTTTCCCTCGGCCTCCCTCTCAACCGCTCGTTCAAAGTGCTCTAGAGCTGATTTAGGCTCCTTTCGTGTTTCTCGTGTGTGGAAGTCATCCTCATCATTGGCTATACTTAGATGGCTAACACCTTGGACGATTTCAGTGCTACCGAATGATGTTGCCCCTTCCTCATCATCCTCTTTGCGTAGCGATGCCTCGTGGCGAGTTGGCGGGAACTGACTCGGTCGTACACTAGAAGATGAGCTTGTGGTAGGTTTAGGCCGTGGTATGTTAGGCTTAGTATGCTTCGTCCGACGTGCGACTTCCTCCCGCCACTGCCGTCGAAACGACTCTAGTTCAGCGTTGTCTTCCATAATCGCGACGGTAAGACACCGTACAATGGCAGGCTGAGGCGAGATCCTGATTGATAAGCACAGTGGTGTCGGACAAGCACCGACACTCGATCACACCTGCCGAGGGGCGGCGGGCAATATGTACCGCAATAATCAAATAATTGCGGATCTTCACAGAGCCATCTCTCGCGCTTTAAATGAATAGCGATCGTGGCAAATGCGTGAATATGTTATTTGATATCGATAAGCTGGAGAGGAGAACGTCAAGCGGCAGTTCGGCGCTATCTTATCTCCGGATCCAATCTGGCTCTGGCCCGAGCGCCACCGCTAACAACCGACCGGGGCCGTTCTTTTTCTTTGACTGACGCATTGCTCCCGTCGTTGCTGCTCCCCACCACCGGTTTTTCTATATACTGTCTATTCCGCTAATATTCCTACCCGAAAGGGCACAGAAAGCGACTATAGCGACACTCCTTGCGGTATCTGCCTAGTTGAATGAATGTCTGACTATAGGTCTGACATCACTCGCGGGGACCGATATCGCTCTGATCTCTTGACTACTACTGGATTGGAGGGGAACACGGCAGAGTCATGGCCTTGGATTGAAGGCAGGGCAATGGCGGCTACTTCTGGGATAGGAAACACTCCTGCTCCGGACGCCAGTGGGAATAATGAGCATGTTTCAATCATCCAGAAGATGGTTTCCGCCACCTGTGGCAGCGTTTTAACAAACTTACTAGGTATGTCCACTGCTGAATATGAGCTCGAGCTCGCTCTCAGATACGTTAGGAGAAGAGTGCCATGTATCTATATATACTCACACCACTGAATAGTGACCCCTCTTGATGTCGTTCGAGTCCGCCTACAATCCCAATCTGCGATTAAGAATACGTCCCCTTTTACCCACCATACGGCGCAAACGTTGAAGAACATGCCCCCGAATTTAGGAGTGACTGCCTGTTGCCGTGAAGTTTTTTGGATTGGCCAAAATTCTCAAGTGTGTATGGTTGGGCCCGGCGCAGGAGCGATTGGAGCTCATTCGCCTGCTATCGCGGATTGTGCCGTGGAGGAAGTCCAGCGAAAAACGTTTACGTCCACGCTCGATGGCCTACGGAAAATTGCTCGAAATGAAGGCGTGTGGACTCTTTGGCGTGGGCTTAGTCCGACTATGATGATGAGTATACCGGCAAACATCATCTACTTTGCGGGATACGATTGGCTGCGAACCGATGAGAGAAGCCCAATAAAGAAACTTTTGCCAGATGCCTACGTTGCATTTATATCAGGTTCTGTTGCAAGAGTTGCTGCAGCATCGGCCATTAGCCCGATCGAGATGTTCCGAACGCGTTTGCAGGCTACCCCGGGCACCGGCGCAGGGCATTTCAAGGCCACTCTCGAGGGATTACACCATATGACTAAAACTCAGGGCTATAGTTCGCTCTGGCGAGGATTAACGCTCACCATGTGGCGCGATGTACCTTTCTCCGGTCTGTACTGGTGGGGATATGAGGAAGTCAAAGGGCACCTCATCGAGGCACGTCACAAAGCCCATGACCGCCTGTTGCCGACTGAGTCATCGTCTGTGGGACACCAACTTGAGGACGACATGCATACGCCAACGTTCCTTGAAAGCTTCATTGCGGGTGCTGCGTCAGGCTCGGTAGCAGCATTTGTCACAACTCCTTTTGATGTGGGAAAAACACGCCAGCAAGTTTTTCGGCACATGGGGGAAGAGAAGAGCAGCGTACCGCGGGGGTCTCTTCTTCCCGAACAGCTTTCCTTGCCTAGGTTCCTCATGCATATCTTCCACGAGGAGGGTACGGCTGGACTCTTTCGAGGCTGGGTAGCACGGTGCTTGAAAGTAGCACCTGCTTGCGCCATCATGATTTCCACATATGAAGTTGGTAAGAAGATGGCAAAGGGCGTCAACGAAAGACGTCATCCTGCGGAGGAACACTCGGACTCTGTCTGAGAAGTTCCTCAGCCAGTCTGACTTGCTGCTGGGATCCAAACACACCGTAACCGCTCGCGATACCTTGCGTTTTTATTCGAGTTCTCCAGCATGCCCTGCATGTCCACGCGTAGGGCCTAGAATACCCTCGGCAACATTTGTTATTGTTTAGTTTTGTAGCAGAATTCCTGCTCTTTGTTATTGTTTTTCTTCTGACGATACCGCATGAGTTAAGTTATAGAGCATTTATTTGTATTTTATTGGGGTCGGGAATGGCGATTCTGGCTACTACACTCCAAAAGCGTTGCATTCTGGTTATCGTGTACATACTTACATCTGGCAATAGAGCTAACAAACCCCCCTCTTGAGTGTATTATAGTGATTAAACGATCATCAAAATCTCCGTTGCTATTATGATCTTTTCGGTTTCATAAGACTCAAGGGGTCAGCTTTGCAAACGTTAGGATAAAACCAACCTAACTATTGATATGATAAGATGAAACATCAATGTATATCGAAATTCTTATTAGAAAATGAGTTTTTTTTGATATGAGGGTTTGTTAGACTGTCATGTGCTGGGCATGTCACAAGGTGGTATTGAGCCCCTGTGGATCCGAGCAAATCGTTCTTTCCAACACTTCGGCCTCATGATTGGCGTCTTGATTGCTCTAGTCACCTTTAGTACGTTTCCTGCTGAGGCTGAACTGCCAAGGCTTCTACAAGGCCCTAGGAATCGTCAGCTGCCATGGATTTGAATCGAAAAACAGAGGTGAGATCAGATGATGGCTGTGATCTACCCGTAATCATATCTTCTCCATCTCTAAAGCCGGAAATATGATTCACTATATTCCCCCTCGGAGAAAACAACAACTATGGCGATCAGTAGTGAGTCTAGTGACACGAACAGTGAGCGGTCTATTCAACTCGAGACTGAAGTAGAGTAAGTCTCGTAGCTATAACTACCCACCCTATTTGGTACTTTTGTCTGAACTATTATAGTGTTGTGGCGGTTCCTGCGATTGGAGCAGATCCGCAGAGAGCGTGGATCGGTGATGATTTTCAGAAGCCATGGCTCATTTCAGAACTGACACGATATATCCCTAATGTGCGGGTGCTACTGTTGGACCATGGGCCTCTAAACCGTCAAGATGATCTGGACTCTCTGGCCCATCATCTCTTGAAGCAGATACATGCAGAAAGGCAACACACTGTATGCACCGCTTATCTATTGTTGCACAAATGAATGAGATTAGTAACACTCTACAGAGCGGAAGGAGGCCCATACTCTTCATCTGCCATGGAACAGGTGGTCTTGTCGCCAAAGCAGCGCTTGCCATTGCCGCACATTCAACGTCGAACCTGGCGTCGATCCTAACAAGCTGCTATGGGATTGCTTTCATGGCAACTCCTCACCAAGGCTCAAGCTATCTTTCAGCTCCAGAGTATGCGAAGAGTATCCGCCGTTTGATGCAACTCAAGCATCATGTCCCACGTTGCATACGAGAGGTCCTGAAGCCCAGACATCCAAGGCTGTTGCAACTAACCAACCAGTTCAGATCCTTATCTGCAGATATCAAGATATGGACATTCTTAGAGACTGTTGACTCTACGCTCACCGTCGCAGATTCGGGTACCGTAAGTACTGTGGAAATGCATGTTCCAATCACTTCTATTCGGTCGGGGGTTCTAGATCTGGAGCACGAAAAGGTGATCCCATTAGCCACGGACCACGTTGGTGTAGCATCCTTCAAAGGACAAGAACTCACAACGAGAATAAGCTTCATTAAAGAGCTTCAGCCGGTTATCGCCAAGGCCGTGCAGCTTTCCAAGCTGCCAGATGCTCCGTTACGCGTTAGTCGAGAGGTTATCGTGCAAGTCAATGGCTTCTTCGAAGACACGGCGCGAGGAGTCAGCGACGAGACGCCTCTCAAGCTCTGGTCAACGAAAACGCCGCTACGGGAGTATCTAAAAGACGGGCCTGCAATTTGTCTCACGGATCGACTGAAACAAACTGGTAGAATATCGTCCGGCTCAATCGATGATTCCTCGATAAGTGACTTTGATAGCAGACCGTCCTCTGCCGCAATGGCAGATACATCGTTTGCTATACGTGATGGGGCAGTGACGGAGGCTAGTGCCATCCAGCCTGAAACAATCTCATCACGGCCGTCTTTAAGAAGAAGCCGTAGTTTTGTGTCCCCTGCTTCCCCCAGAATTCACGTTACGGAGGCAGCCGCCGACGGTTATTTTGATGTAACACAACAACAAGAAGAAGAAGCAGAAGAAGAAGAACCAACGTCGGACATTCAAAGTGATATTGCTTCCAGTGAAGATCAAGGACATAGAGATAGCGTAACTGATGAAAGAAAAGAGATCACTGCTGGGAGTTCTAGTCCTAGTAACCAGGGGCAGCCCAATATATTGTGAGTATCGCATTGCCGTGGAATTTAGATCACAGATTCGACTGACTAAACCGACAAAAGAACTAGTTTATCATCGAAATACAGAACTTTCCTTCCTTTACCACCACCCACAAGGGAGCGACTCCAGGAGGTTCGAGCAGAGCTACCCCGGAGAGCTCCCCGATTTGACCGACCAGAGCCAGGTAGCGAGAAGCTCTTGTGGATTCATGTTCCATACACCCATACAGGATGGGTGCCTCCAGTCCTGTCTAAGGCTTGCAACGATCATCAGCGGCCAGAGTTGTAAGGCCAGTCCCTTTACTTGAGTTACCTCTAGCTAACGTGCTTCAATCGTCATTGCATCAGCTTCAAAAAGTTCGTCAATGATAAAAATTGGTACTCGCAAATTATTAGAGCCCGCCATCTAGAGCCTCATGCGCGATTTGTCCGTCCCACATGTATTCATTCCAGGCTGAGTGATTCCTTACCGATCAACCCACCAGGGGAGTCCCGTGATCCTCAATTAGCCTTATACGTAAGTCCAACCATTTAATATTTGGTAGGACAGTGTACTGACGATATGATAGCTTCCTTATGTAAGTCGGATTATTGGGCGTATAATTCCATTGGCTAAGGTATGATATCACAGCTTCATTGGGACACATACTGGAATCTCCTTCAACGACGAAAGGTCATCGAAAAGCGGCTACAACAGGGAAGGTCCAAGCCAGTCCCTGAGTACATCTCGGAGTCCCATATAGAAACGAGATTGCTATGGAAGTTCCTGGGTGCCGAGCCCCCTATTCATATACGAAGAACATTAGATCAGTATGGTTATCCAAATCTGCGATCTACGGTAGCAAGAGACGACGACCAGATGCTATGGAAACGGACTAGAAAAGTCGTCGATCTCAGTAACGAGCTTGATAGTTCAATCCCTCTACAAGACAATCCTGACTCTTCCAAGACGTTCATCGATGGAAAGGTTCTCATGGTTGATCAGCTCTGGCTCTGGATCGTAGATGAGAAAACTGTCGTTACCTTTTTCCCTAAACAGGAGGCAACGACTGCTGAAGACAAACTATACGAACAAGCGAACCTGCACAGCAGCATTTACAACGAGTTGAATGGGGACCTTGCAAGACGCTTTGAGACAGCCGGGGACCTCGCTGCATTGATTGTCTTACATGCAGTCACCATTCTTCTGGACAGGACACTGGACCATGATCTACAGATCCTGCGGATCTTCGAGGAATCCATTAGTATCCTGGTACGCTACGTTCCGCCGGTGACTTCAATACAAAAGCTAATGTCAGTAGACTGAGTCAACCACCAAGTCATTCAAACGCTTCCGTACCCGAGGATTCATCGCCAGACCAGCCGATTATAACAGGACACTAGAAGGCAAAACAATGACCGCATCAGAGCGTGACGAAAGAGACCGTCGAGTAGCCCATCAAAACCGCGAAGATCTCTCTACACTATTAGAGCTGAGAGATATAATAGACGAACTAGGAACAATATTAAAACTCCTCGAACAGCAAACCGCCACCGTCAAATTAATGGCGCAATACTTCGAAGACAAAGGATACGGCAAAGTCTTCATAGAATCCGCTCTTTCCCGACTCGAAGACTACCGCACCCAGGTCACAGACATGCGCGAGAACGCACATCTAGCACAGAAAGCTGTACGATTCCCTGACCTCAACGATCCCACTTATCTAACACTAGGTATTCTAGGTCGAAAACCTCCTCGACCTCAAGCAAAAGCAAGCAAACGTCGACGAGTCCCGTATAACCCGCTGGCAGGCAGAAGTAGCCCAAAACCAATCGCAGTCCGTAATGGTATTCACAATCTTCACCGTCATGTCAGTCATCACTCTACCCTACCCTACACTATCAATCGCCATCTACATCCTTTTGCTAAAAGAAAAACGCAGCTTCCTCCCTCTCTCATTCTTCACCTCCCTATTCGGTGTGAACGTCCGCGAATGGAGCGGCGAAGAAACAAACCCTGACTGGGCTTACATGCTAGCAATATCAGGTTCGTCATCTAGTATAACCCCTGTTGAAGCCCTATCCAGCACCACTAACCAAACATAATCCAAGGCCCAACATCCGCCGCCATAATACTCATTGCCCTCTCCATGGCCTTCAGCGAACGTCTCCGCGATAGCGTCGTAAAAGCCCACATCATCGGCGTCGGCATAATCACAGATTTCCTCTTGCTCCCCGTCAAAGGCGTATTCAAATTAGGGACCGCGGCGTCCCCAACAAAGCCGACTCCAGGGCAATCAGAAAGTACGGGGCGTCTTGACAGGTACCTAGGGAACAGACGGTATAACAAGCAGCTTGAAGATGATATTTGGAAACGACACGAGGATCGGGTGATTTCGCCGTTGCCAGCGGTTCACATTTCTGATGTGGAGGGGATGATGGGGTTTGATGTTTCTGAGAAGGGGGGTCGATGGCAGCAAAATGTTAATGAGGCATAAATTTTTTTTTTGTTTTTGAGATTTCCCCCCCTGATTTTTTGTTGATATTGGTTTGGTTATACGTTGCAGGCGGTTAGATATTGCGAAGGTAGTTTTACTGCTAGTATTCTTGTATTAACGGAGTTTGGGTAGAGATTGGGGAGAATTGAAGTTGTCGACTGGGAGTAGGCATCTATACAATGAGTTAACCTGGTTCAGGCCGCATCACATATGACTTTTAACACAGGGTGGAAGGCATATCGTAACTGACATGGAGGTGGACTACAGTCCTATACGAGTCTGAGCTACGGAAGAGAGAAAACGTGTTCATGAACAATTATTGTAAATTGAGAACGGAACCACAAACTACGAAAGCTGTGGGGTACGTAAAGTACATGATATGGTACACAGGACTCCCTGAGGCTTTTATCCCGACATAGTGGAGTGGAGATGATATATGGGGGTAATGCAATAGAGAGGTAGGAGGGTAAGGAGAATCGGAGGTAAGAAATTGGGTAGTGAGGACGTGCAACACATTAGGACAAAAGAGATATTAAAAACACAGAGATATCAGAATATGCAATAATATGCAAAGACACGCTGGAAGAGGAACGGTTAGAAACAAGGAGAGGTTAGGCTATAGCAGGCGCGGCGCAGTTTAGAACATGCCACCGCCCATGCCGCCCATACCACCCATGCCACCCATGCCACCAGGGGCGGCAGGGGCCTTCTCCTCAGGGGCCTCAACAATAGCGACCTCAGTGGTACCAAGGAGAGAGGCGACACCGCTAGCATCAACCAGGGCAGTACGGACGACCTTAAGGGGGTCGACAATACCCTTGGCGATCATGTCAACATACTCACCCTTAGAGCTGTCAAAGCCGCGGTTGAAGTCCTTGGCGTGCTCCTCAGTAAGCTTGCCAACAATAACGCTGCCTTCAAGACCAGCGTTCTCAACGATGGTGCGGGCAGGGCGGGTGATGGCATTCTTGATGATGCTGACACCGAGCTGCTGGTCGAAGTTGGCAGGCTTGACGTTGTCAAGGCCGTTGGCAGCGGCCTTGAGGAGAGCGGTACCGCCACCAGGGAGGATACCCTCCTCAACAGCAGCACGAGTAGCGTTGAGGGCGTCAACGACACGGTCCTTCTTCTCACCGACCTCGACCTCAGAGGAACCACCGACCTTGATGACGGCAACACCACCGGAGAGCTTGGCCAGACGCTCCTGGAGCTTCTCCTTCTCATACTCGGAAGTAGTGGGGTCAGCCATGACACCGCGGATCTGCTCGCAGCGCTGAGCAATGGAGTCCTTGGTACCCTCACCGTTCAGGATGATGGTGTCCTCCTTGGTGATGGTGATAGAGCCAGTGGAACCGAGCATGTCAGGGGTAAGCTTCTCAAGCTTGATGTCGAGCTCATCGGTGAAGACGGTACCGTTGGTGAGGACACCAAGGTCACCAAGGATGCTCTTGCGGTTGTCACCGAAGCCAGGAGCCTTGACGGCAGCAACCTGGAGCTGACCACGGAGCTTGTTCAGGATGCAGACGGCGAGAGCCTCACCCTCAATGTCCTCAGCAATGATGACGAGAGGACGGCGGAGGGTAGTGGAGGCCTCAAGGGCGGGAATGATATCCTGAACAGCGGAGATCTTCTTCTCGGAAAGGAGGATCAAGGGCTTCTCGAACTCAACCTTCTGGGACTTGGTATCGGTGATGAAGTAGGGGGAGGTGTAACCACGGTCGAAACGCATGCCCTCAGTGACCTCAAGCTCATCCTCAAGGGTCTTGCCCTCCTTAACGGTAATAACACCCTCCTTGCCGACTCTCTCCATAGCAGTGGAGATGAGCTTACCAACGTGGGTGTCGCCGTTAGCGGAGATGGTAGCGACCTGGGCAATTTCCTCGCCGGTGGTGATGTCACGCTTGTTCTGCTGCAGGTAGTCGACAGCAGCCTCGACAGCAGCCTGGATACCGCGGCGCAGATCCATGGGGTTGCAGCCAGCGGCAACGTTCTTGACGGTTTCGGAGAAGATGGCACGGGCAAGGCAGGTAGCGGTAGTGGTACCATCACCGGCGAGTTCGTTGGTCTTGGAGGCAACATCCTGAAGGAGACGAGCACCAAGGTTCTCAAACTTGTCCTGAAGCTGAACGGCCTTGGCGACGGTCACACCGTCTTCATGCAGTCAGTATCATCATTCGGTCTGGTTTGCACATGGTCGGGGTGTATCGACATACCCTTGGTGATCTTGGGAGAGCCGTAAGGAGTGTCAATCAAGACATTGCGGCCCTTGGGACCAAGAGTGGAGGTGACAGCCTTAGCAAGAGTGTCCACACCCTTAAGGAGCTGGGCACGGGCTTCGACGCCGAATTTGAGCTCCTACACCGCATTAGAAACCTAGACACTCAGAGGGAAAAGTCCGGGAGCTGTCGGGAGGCGTTGACGATTGGGTCTCAGATAGTACGCACCTTGTGGGCAAACCGTTGCTGCTGGAGGTTGAAGCCAGAGGATCTGTAGAAAGGAGCGCGCTTAGAAGCGGCGGAAAGGACAGATGTCCTGGAGGAAAGAGCTCTTTGCATCTTGGAGACAGGTAAATAAGAAAATACAGAAACAGAGAGTCAATTGATGATTGAAGTAAGTCTGCCCGAACAGAACTCCCAGAGCAAGGACGGGTGCAGAGGAAGAAAGAAGAGAAGAAGGAGATGAAGATGGGGAGATGGGAGAAGAAGAGATGGAGAAGGGGGATGGAGATGAAGCCAAAGTCTGGAAAATTTTCCAGGCGATTCTCGATCCCCGGATGTCTTGGCAAAAGAAGCTCCTAGAATGGGTCACGTGGCCCGTTCCCGAGGGAATGTCTTCGGCTCGTCGGAAGCGGAAATTCGTATACATTACTAATTGCCGTTTATCGGCGTTGATATTGCTAACCTCCTGAAAAGAGTATAACTAAAAAAAATACAAGAAGAGATAAAATAACAAGCAAAATACCACCAATCTGAAGAAAAAGAAACAAATTTGAAGCGCATGCAAAACGTAAAATGCAAAATGCAAAATTGGGGTAAACCAAGAATAACAATAGAGTCACTCACCGAGGGTCAATGAATGTAAACCAAAGCGCCAGCTTGGAAAGTCAGAGATTCCAAGTCCAAATGTATTGCTCGGACTGACCAAAGCAGAATACCACCTCGTTAACACTAGATAAAGCAAACCAAAATTCAACCTCTCGATCCAAGATAACCTCAGACTTAGCTCCAGTCAATAGTAGTACTGCGCTAAAGTCGAACCGAACCAGCGGAAATCGACCGACAACCAGTCGGTGAAGTCATGTTGTTTGAGGCTTATTCAATCTTTGTCACCAGGTTGTCCTGGGTTTCCATGATCATATCCTCATTTGGTTCAACATAGTTACCATGAAGGTACTGGTAGTTCTCACTATAAAGGACACCACCAACCGAGTCATCAGCGGAGTGGTAATAACCTGGATGCTGGTAGCCAGCATATGATGTATTGTGGAAGTCTTGGCTTTCCCCGAGTGAGGTCAGGTTAGTAACAGCGTCTTCAGGAACAACTGCAGACATTCCCGTGATATGATTATATCCAAGCAGATAATGGTTCTCCATGTCGAGATTAGGCTCTGGTAGCTGTTGATAATGAGCTTGGTAAGGCGTATTGCCATATGCGCTAAGCGCAGTGGCTACTGATTGTGCATATATCGAAGGAAAGCCACTAAACACATTACCCACTGCCTGTCTATACCTCAAAGTGACCAGTTTGCTTCTAGTATTCTCTGGAGCACAGGGGGAGGATGTTGGCTCTGAGGGTGGTTCTTGCTCGTTGGGATATTGGAGAAACTCAGCCCCAGGGACCAACAGCTCTCCGAATCCATAGTTACTGCCGTCAATCTCCTCATCTTCACTTTTGATCGAAATAGCGCCACGTGGCTGCGATTTATGTGATTGCTTCTTAGATCGACTTCTGCGGCGACCTTTGTCGATATAGTCTTCATCGGATGAAGTATCGTCATGGAAATCCATTTCTCGACCTTCGGCTTCCTCGCTTCCTGAAATATGAGCAGCTCTGAGGTTGTGTTTGGCTCCAGACGCAGTTCTGGTAGGCGCATTCCCAGAAGACTTGCTCGATGACCCTACACCACCACGCCGTAGGGGAGGAGGGACTTCTTTGCCAGCATCGACACGACGGGTCCGAACCTTTGCCAGATGCTGGACGATAGCCCCTTCGGTAACATTATTTCTCATTGTACTAGCAACCTCGGACCAAGGGATTTTGATAGACTGGTTGTTGCAGACTGACTGCACGGTCAGGAGAAGAAGCTCGTTTAGGTTATCTAGCAACTCGGCATGAGCTTAATCAACAAACAGTATCACTGCCTTCCAGCCAAGGAAATACGTACCATCCCAGCGGACTAGGGTGCGCTTTTTGGGTCTGTTCAAGGCTTTCTTGGAAGAACTCATAGTGCCCTGGTAGCAGAACAGACTGCAAGGTACACCAAAAAGTGAATAGCTAGCAGCTGTGAATACCCTTGTCGTAACTCTTCGTCACATACAGTCACCAGAAATGATGAAGTGTAGAGTAAGAGGGTGTGTTGTGCCGAGCTGAAGTAGAAAAGAACTGAGTGGAGCAAAGTTGTGAAGAAAGGTGAGATGAAGTGAGAGTAGGTATAAGACAGAAGCGCATTGTTAAGTATCTAGCTATTAATACATCAACTGAGATACATAGACAATAAGTGAAACTTACAACCCAGGACAGTATACTGGATGCGGGCATCATTTGTTTATATGCTTATTACCTGGTACTCAGCTGAGCAGCCGCAGTCACTCTACAGTGTACACTAGGGACTAGCAACATTAGATAGATAACTATATCGTTTGCTATCTAGAGATATGAACTGGCAAGGATCTTATATTTGAAAGTAATACCTATGTTATAAGTTGCTGCACGACTTTAATTTCTAGTCAAAGCAAATGCCAATGTCTATCTTGCGCAGTTATCTCAAATATATATATATGTTTAAAACTCACGACGACGAACAAGAAAAGGTATAGAACTAATGCAAATTTGACATGGCCTGGAAGTCTGACGAAGAGAGTGGCGCATATGTGTCAGAGATGTATTCTCTCAGTTCCGGGGGTCCATGTCCGGTAATCGAGTATATTGTAGGCCATGTGGCTAAAATTTACTACTAAATACTGTCACTTTTGATGTACTAGAAGGTCAGGTGAAACGGCTTGCTTGATTGGTCATGGGGCCGGAAGGTCACGTGAATCACATGACCCGAGATTCCGATGCTCCGAAACTCGACGCTTTGCAAAGCATCCCGTATCGGTTGATTGATTCTCCCACCCCCAATTGAATACCTCATCCTCCACACACCGTCAAGATGGCATACTGGAAAGCCGCTGGTCTGACGTACGCATGATTCCTTATCATTCTACGCCTTGCTTAGAATAAGCCGAACTAACTGGACGTTCGACTTTTACAGCTACAACCGCTACCTGGCCGTTGCTGCTCGCGCGGTCCGCAGATCCCTCAAGGAGACCCCTCGTCTGGCTGCTGAACGCCGTGGCCAGATGGACCTGCGTTTTGCTAAGTGGGAGGTTCGTTTTGGTGCCCCCGCTTGTTCTGTTGGAATCAATGGGTCGTGAGCTTAGGCTAACAATGTCTTTTTTTCACCAATATAGAACGGCAAGCAGGGCGAGGTTCGCTCCCTCGGTGAGGCCAACCAGGAGGCCGCCGTCGCCAACGCCGAGAAATAGACGGTTTTCGAAAACACCCGCATGCGATAATATGGGATATCTTCTACGAGACGGGGGGTGCAGTTGATGATGTGTGGTGCAGGAATGATTTGGAGCTCTGTAGCATATTCGTCCGTTGATCTGGTATAAATAGAAAGAAAAGACCATTTCTTTCCTGCAAACTGGGCTGGTTAAAGTAGATCTCGTGCACCGTAATGCCGTTCGTACTCTGAGCGTAGTCACCCTAACCTTGCGGTCTTCGAGCTTTACACCGCGGGCAATGCTTCCGCAATTTTGCCCTGTCCGCCCGACTCCCCGCCTCTCTTTCGTCGGCACTCCTGATTCTTTCTTCCATCATCCTTTTATAGAGTGCTTTCTGCCCAGGGTTCGAACGGGCAAATCTGGCAGCTGGCTGCAGATTATCGATACTTCATATGTTGCTAAGTAACGAGGGCCGAAACCCGATGATGCGAGTCATTTCGCAGTCCGTCGTCCCACGCGACATTACGGACGAATTTACCAAAGCTGCCTCAAGTAAGATCTCTTCCACCTCTGTTCAGTATCTTTTTTTTTTGTCCATATCACTTGCTACTACGTAACATGGGTTTCTGATAATTGTTTTCTTGGTCTTAGGATTGCGAACTGGCCAGCTCGTTAAAGATGAGTACTTCACGTTGTTCGAGGCAGTGGGCGCACTGGAGGTGAGCTCATGCTATTTACATTTACTCCCAAGGGCTGTTTAACGTTTCGTGACCTGAAGCTCATATGTGGTATTATCGCAGATTATGGACTCAAAAATGGACAGTGGCTATCTTGGACCGGGACAAAACGACGTGCAATCATTAGAGGATGACTACGATACCACGCGGGAGCTGGCTCCGGAGCAGGTGATAGGGATAATGGATGAGCTGTTATGTCATGAGGTAGGTGGTTGCCTTTCCATAGAGCGACGAGTATCCGCTTAAGCGAAGATATACTGAGACAAACCGCGCAATGGTAGATGGCGTGGCATATGGGACATCCACTCTCGCAAACACTTTTTACCTCTCTATACCTTGATAAACTCCTTTGGCCTATACCGAAAACGCTAGAAGAAGCACATTTTTGTCGTCCGGGATCCGCTAGGAATAAGGAAGAGCCTGGGATGGTCCATTTCGTGCTACGGGCCTATTGCCTTGCGCTTATCAAATGTTGCGATTTTGTCCATGCGCGAGTGATAAATGAGTATTTCTACGAGGTAAGTCACACGGCTTTCACATTTCATATACTATTACTAAACGCATATAGGAGGAAGACTTTGTCACCCAATTGTACAACCGCAGCCTGCTGTCGCAGTTCGACCATGAATATTTCCGCAATCTCTTGGATCGGGCGATTTCATGGGTAGATGAGCAAGGGGACAGTGTTAATGGAAAGTTAAAAGAAGCAATAAAGTGCCGGTTGGCCTTTCGGCGTGATTTCCTTCTCAGTTTGGACCAGGATATCGATATCATGCAGAGTCGGTCAGCCAGTCACTTCTCATCCTGTCTGTCGCAGTTGGACCCCATGGCGGAATCGGTGTCACTTGGAAGACCAGTGCCTGAAGCGTTCAGTTGGAAGATCCAACGAAAACTGGCCAGCACAGTTCCCCCTCGGCCCATGGTAAAAATAAGCTTTGAGGATGCGCTGGCGCATTTGAAACGGTTGTGCCAAGATGCTATTGATCTTCTGGAGGTCCTGGATTACTCTGGACCCCATAACCTCAAGGTATGCATTTGAAACCAACGGAATATTTTCCTTCTGGCTACTCATCCTCTAATGTTGTTAGGTGGCCGTTTGGACTCTGCTCTCTCGGAAGCCCCAGCCGTCAGTTTATATTCGATCACTTGTTCAATCTATGACCATGAGTAACGTGATGGTCCTGGGAGCTGTACCAGTGAAAACCTTTTTATATGATGAGCTTGCGGAAATCGTCCTCCCTTCCAGCACGCTTCTGTTAGCCAACACAGATGAGACGGAAATGCCGACCGACCCTCGCTTTCAGATAGCCAACCACATGGATGCTTTTGTTAAACGCTTTGCTCAGGTGTGATGCTGGATATACCTCCCTCACTTTATTTCCCCGCGAGCTAACTCGGGAGATAGCCGTTTGTGGACACTTTCCGAAGTGCATGCCTCAATCGCTGCCGTATTCGTCGGACAGTATGTCATACAATTGTTGACTGGGACAATCTACAGATGGAGGTATCTATGCGGTTTCTCTCATATACGGCATCCCGTTACTAATTGCTTCGTAGGCCGAAGATCTCGATGAACAACTACGCACGCTGAACAACGAACCGCCACTGATGCTCCAAAACGGCGACGCTACCTATTCATACCCGCTAAGCAGCTGGGCCTACCACCAGAAACTGAACCAGTTCAGGCTCATTATCCAGCTCGGATTCGAACTTTCCATCTATTCTCCGGAGGAACTACCAGGGATGTACTGGTACTTGTCCCATATCTGCTCCACACATCTCGGCCACATTGACCGAATCCGTACATTTACCGTTGCTGCCGCGAAGCGCAACCTGAACGGTCTGGCGGGAAAGAAACGCGATGCCGTTGAGCGACACGCCGCTTTACAAAGGACGCTCCGTCTTCTCGAAAGACTTACTACGCAAACAGTCGCTGTGGATGCCTTTGCCATATCTTTACACGCTCTATATGTTCTTCTCGCTCGCCATGAAGTTTTACCCACAGCAGCGGCCGCGCAGGCATACTCCAGCGAACGATTACGGTATGAACTCCGCATGAAGCCCTTCATACCGATTACTTTACCGGAACTTGTTCCCTTCGACGAATACCGCCGGGAGGCCATCTTAGAAGGGGACAGTGATGAGATAGTCCTAGAGCGTGCCTCGAAAGCCGTCTCTGAAGCTCGCAAAGCTTGGGAAGCGACCCTGGCTAACGGTGCTTTTATCCGGGATCCTCAAGGCCAGGCGAATCCGACACTGGCCATTGAAGAAGATTGGAAAAAGGATGTTAAAAATACGATGCGGGCGTGCATCGGGGCCAGCATTGCCATTGAAACTGCGAAGAAGGCACTGGCAGCACGCCGTACATCCACCGATGCTGTGAAGCTTCAAGTGGGTATTCCCGAGATGGGCTCCAAGGCGCGTTGGCATGACTGGTGGGTTGTACCCCAAGTATCTCCGACCTCGAGCGGCGGCTCTCAGACATGAAAACCATATGATATCCACTATACTCTAATGAACGACTTGATGTGATGATGAATGGTCATGTACCCGTCGTTCGTTCTGGCAATGCCCTCCTTACAGGATGGATGATGAAGTTATGTACATAGAGTAATGGTATTAGAAATTTCCCGAAGCAAGAGGGAGGTGTACCGAGGGTTGAATAAATAGAATTTCTCAATTTACCCACTTTAATTAACCTTGGGGATCAGGCCATACATAATGAGAGCCTCTGGGATCACCTGATATGCAACTGCAGCTCAATTCCCGTGCAGAGGATCGGCACATGGGCAGTACTAAGTAGTAAACTCATGACATGCCATCCCGTTGGGAAATAAACAAGCTTATTGTTTGGGTTCAAACTTCCCCAATTGTATTTTTTTTTTCCCGCCGTTTCCCTTTCGTCCCCTCCCCCAAAGGCTTGGAACCGAGGTTGAAAAGAGCAAAATTAACGAGCTAGACGAGGGGAGGAGACTGATCCTGACGTTATCTTCCCGAACATGACTTCATTGCCATCATGAAGAAAAACGAATTCGTTTCCCGCGAACCCTCATTCATTGAATGAATGTGACTTTCATAAGTTGATTTGGATTTATTTTATTTATTATATTTTTTTTCCCGCCTCATATACATCGCAGCAACGTCCCATTCGGTCAACATAAGCGAACAAAACAAGACGATCTGCGCTGCAACCACGCCATCTCGGGAGTCCTGGTTGGCCGGTGCGCTGGTGCGCTTGGCCGCTGTCACTACTAAACGGTCCCCTAAATGCTCCAATAATAATCCACTCAACGGACCTCCGTAGGGCATTGCTCTGTCTTTCTTTACCTTGGGACTTAATATCAAGAAAACTACTATTACTATCACAGATCAGAAACCGGAACCGGAATAGCCCTCCGGAATCTATCCGTCGACTTTCTTTTTCTGCTTTCGGTAATCAGAAGCAAAAGAACCAAAAAAGAGAAAACGCAAAGCAAAAAAAGGCCAAAATATAAGGAAACTGTAATCCGATACCTATTATTAGGTGGTTTTTGTCCCTTCTCGACCCTCAGATTTGGTACGAGGATTCCGGCGCTATTCATGGGGTTGAACGATGATCGATTGAGAAGTGGATTTGTTTCTCGTGCATTTCATTCGTGCTCCCTTCGGTCGCGGCTCGTCGGTGGCCTCGCTTGACCTTCAACGATCTGATCTCGAATGGCTGAAGCTGACACTTGCCATTTCGGTTGAACCATTCAGTAATAATAATAATAATAATAATAGCCACTTTTATTCCAGCTACGCGTGCTGTCTCCGTCACTCTACGCACTACTACCCCCCCCCGATCCCTCCTCCTCCTCCCCTTCTATCGCGCCCGACTTCGTCCCATCCCCCATTCGGCGGGGCGACAAGAGGACGTTTCGGTCGCCATCGCAATGCCTACATACCCGATCCGACGCCGGCCTCGTGAGTGCAAAACTTGTCTACCATGTCGCGCCAGTAAGGTTCGCTGCGATCGCAACGTCCCGTGCGGGAACTGCGTCAAACGTAACTTTACTTGTTCTTACGGTCGTCCGGCGCCAACCCAACCCAAACCGCCGCTCATTGCAGATCCTACCCTTTCAGCTGCCGCCTCAACTGTCTCTACGCCTCAATTGCCTTCCGGTTCAGCCTATATATCGTCTAGTCGAGATGATGCCCCAATTCCCTCCTACAGCGCAGAGCCGACCTCGGATGATGCTCTGTCGGAAACCGTGACGATTACTCAGTTTGAATGGGACGAGGTGAACTCGAAGATGCGCGCGATGGAGTCAATATTGGCCA